TTTCTTTCACACTTTAAAGGAGGGGAAACTAGGGTTTCTTTTATTGTTAAATTTGGGTTTTGATGGGCTGGGCTATGAAATTGGGTTGTAACTTGAATTAAATTGTTGGTTGGCTCAATATTGGGGTGGATTTGTGGATTTGCTTTGGTAGATTTCATCCTCAACTTTTTAATTTTTTTCAATTGAGTCCTTTTCTTGTTATTTTTCTTAAATTTCTTCACAAAATTTTTTTATATTGGTAAATCCGAAACGGTACACGAAAAATTCCGGTATCTAGTACGTATCGTTTTAGTAGCAAAACCGGTACGTATGCCGGTACGGTATTGATAACTTTGGTACAAAGTGCAGACAGGTATAAAGTGTATGATCGGATATCCAAAAATGGGCTTTAGATAGATCACAAAGAATTTTACAACTGTTTAACAAATATGCATACATAATCTTATTCCATGCATTAGGCAGTGTCGGTAAGAACCAATGGAAACACAATAAGTAAAATCTTTAGGGTCAAATCTCTGTTTCCTGTCAAGAGTTTTTCCCTTCCGTTCATCACAAACAAAAATATGAACATCTTTTTGATATTTGACAATTGTGTATATGTTCAAAACTATAATGGTTGATCTTTAATTCTTGTAAGATGCTTCAAATTGTCTCCATGATGGCAAGACGAGATCCAATTCCCCAGTAATGATGCTTCTTGGATTGGATAGGTCTTGTCGAAGTAGTGCTCATGATCGCATGGCTTCCCTCCTTCCCCTTTGATGCATGCTGCAGTGGCAGTTATGTCATTCCAGAAAAAGCACAGAACCAATGTTGCATAAGGAAAAAACATACATTTACCATTCATAACATATATCAATAGAGACATTGCTCGATAACCATAAATGCCATCATGTATACAATTGCATGTATTTAGTCAGTAAATATAATCTACCAAAATGAAACACTAAAATAACCATAACGAAAAGTAAAAATGCAAAAAGCTTACATACCTAAGAATGATGAAAGGGCAATATATATCAACTCCTGTCAATAAATCAGTATATCATTTGCAATATCATTATGAACAACTGGGGCAAATGGTGGCCAATTTGCAAAACAAAAAATCACAAGGCAAGTTGTAGATTGTCATGGTATGAATGAAAGCTAATAGACCATCAAAGGAAATAGAAACAAGACACTAAGTGGAAACTTACATAGCATAAAGTGCAAGTTACCCCTTGCTAAATCCTCTTTTCCTGCTTCACTTCCTGTGAGGTATATCCCAAAAGAAACAGATTAGTGAAATTTGTAAAAGTCTACATGTTTCACAAGTTCGATCTTCTTGATATACCTCCTATTACTGGTTAAGTTCAACTGCCATGGCCAATCTCCCTCTTTTCCCTCTACTATTCCTAAATAATTTGAACAATGTAAATCAGAAAAAGTGGGAGGTGGCATGAATGGAGATGGACTTGTGTAAAAACACTAACCTTAAAACTGGGTCTAGTAACTGTAGTAAGAGGTACATAATGATTTGCATCTCGACCATAGTTGAGTGCAACTGGTTTCAGAGTAAAAGGTCTTTGAAGGGTTCTACAAATTCACAATCATTTATCAATAATCAGAATCATATCATTGAAAAAACAAATCTTATAAATTTGAAAGAAAAGAGGATTAACTCCTTTTACTTCATCAAAAGGGTTTATAACAACTTGATAGCTACCTATATCATACTCTTCATAATTTGGGGATTTGGGATGTTTCTTAATAGAAAACAGCAAGTGAAACATACCACAGGTGTGTTGGGGACATAGAGGACTAATGTTGGATTCTAACCAATTTGCCAAGGTTTCTCAATTTATAAGTAGTTGTCACATTAGATTTTTGAACAATCCCAAGAATTCCATAACTGATAAAAAAACACAAAACAAAATGGAAAAAGAAACTCAGGAAGTAATTAGACTTAGATTAACCTGTTGGATTTCCAAAATGTTATCTTAAAATTGAAATCTTGCTCTTGGAGCACAAAAACCAGAAGAATTTGGATGGAATAGAAAGCCTTAGATCGAAAACCAGAAACTTACATAACATTGATCTAAAGCTTGTTACACTTGTACATCCACCAAACATAGCTCCAAACACCAACAAAGCAACTCCTTCCTAGCTCCTGCCATGTTTGGCTATGGTAGCAAGGTTCACCAGTCATCTCAGGACAATATGATATGTTGCATGGTATAAATCAGACTCATGAAGGGAGCCTAATAGTACTGAATTAATGCATTGTACTAATGAAACACATTTGGATTTGGATTTGGGGAGAGGGTTCAGAAGTTTAGATTGGAGCTAATCCACCATACAAAGTAAAAGTAATAATTGAACAGAAGAAAATTGTTCATGATGAGACCATATGCCATTGTTAAGGAAAATCTAACTTGTAAGTTAAAGTCTCCACTAAGAAGCTTTATATGGTAACTTGGAGGACTGCTCATCAACCAACAAGACAAAGATAGACCATTTCCAACCCATTGCCATGTTTTCCAAACAAGCTCCACAAGTAACGTAAACAAATTGTAAATCATGACACCAAAAAGAAGTGACTCAACTACTTATAGAAAGCTAGAAAATGAAGCTCATTTTTGTTAGAAACTTTCTCTTGTATAGAACTTTAAGCTTAATAACCAAGATATGCACTGTCACCCAAAAGATAAAAATCAAAATAATTTTTCCAACCCACTTCCATGTCTTTCAAACAAACTCTTCAAATAACCTAAACAGATAACAATCGTGAGTGTGTCTCCATGCTTTGACTTGCATATGTGAACTATTGCACTCTTGGAAAGGAAAAATTCACCTCTTTGCACAATTCATGATCATAACACCAAAAAGTTTTGTAGGAAACCTGAAAATGATATCAATTTTTATCAAAAACTTTCTCTCGTACAAAGCTTTTAGATTAAGAACCCAAAAGGCAAACCCAGAAACCTAAAAACTTCCTCTCCTTAAGGCCTTACTAGATCTAGTTTACTCGGCAATTAAAGGGAGCACATTTTTAGCCAAGCATACCCCGAAACCAAATTATAAAAGGAAGAAAATATAAAACAAAAAAAAAAATCAATAAAACCCTTATGAATACATAGAAATTAAAAAGCAAAAGAAAATGAAGAGAGTAAAATGGAATAGTCAAGTCAAAATACCTAGTGTTTGGATGTCTAACACTTTCTTTGAAGGTCTGATTCTTCAGCTCAGCACGTAATTTTCCAGTCAATCTTTCTATCATTGAGTAAGGGCTTTTATTGGAACATGTTGTCAGTGGCTTGTGATTCATTTGGAAACTTGATGATTTCCCTGGAACTACGCAGATATTGTTTCTTTCAGCAACTAAAATAACACAAGACTGCAAATGATAGAAAATTTTTTTAAAAAATGATTGTCTAGGTAAAGTTAAATGAAAATATATCCAAAAAAAAAAAAAAGGACATACAATTAATGTTCCTCCAACCACAAATGTTAAACAGTCTTATCACCCACAATTTTATCTTGTTAGATGAGAAAAGCAGAATATGAATCTAAACACAAAAACTAAATAAAGTTACAATCAAGTGAAAATAGAGGTAGTGAAATCTAAACACTTACTGGTTGGAGTTTATGAGAGAGCGGAGGCTGGATATCTCTGTCTTCCAAGATATACCCACTTAGGGTTTCCATCTCAGACATATCCATCCCTTTCTCTTCTAGAATACCTAATTGTTTTTTTGTTGGGGGAGAAATGAACTAAGGAAAAGTTCTTATCGGCATGTGTTATTCAGGTGGCATGTGACTTCAATTTCCAGAAAGTTACGATTTGCATTTGCAGCTTTTCACTTCACACTACACAAATTATTTCCCAAATTTTCAGCAACTTACTATAATATTTTATCAAATCAAATTCAAGTTAGTATTAAATAGTAGTAAATCAATGAATGCCTTACCCTCAATCCCAACATCTGTTAGAATATTTCAAGAAAGGTTGAAAGAGGTTCTTAGCATCAGGATGATCCCACTCCACTGATTCCCACCATTCTTTTGATTGTTCACCTATCTTGATTTCTTTGAGATGAGGAGGAGGAGATGGTTGGCCGTTATCAAGTTGGGGAAGCTGCACAGGGATCCTCTTTAATTCTGGACATCCGCTCATTACAATTTTTTCAATAGAATTACAAACCATAACTCCTTTGGCACTGCAGATGCTTTTCAATTGGGGTAAGTTCCACAAGCGCAATTCCCTTAACTTAGGAAAAGTGAAAGTGAATTTATCTGATGATGATGCATCTAAATCTGATGATGCTATTATCTCCTCTATTTGGTCGCAAGTCAAAACTATAATCTCCTCTAAGTTTTGGAGGGCCTGCATTAGCTCAAGTGGAAGCAACTTCCTCAATCCCCAACATCGGATTATTTCAAGTTGTTTAAGATTGGAAAAGACATGTGGTGGTGTTTCTACTCGTTCCACTCTCACAAGTTCACACAACCTAGGCAATTGCTGAAGTTTCAGCAATTCAAGCTTATCAAGTATTGGACAACACAATGAGGAGGAGGATGAGTCCAACTCAAACACACACTCTATCTCTTCACTACCGATAATATAACACCTCCTCAAGTCGTTTGCTTTCTCTAACAGAGTTATTTTGCTTAAGCTGCTTCTTATGTTTTCACCCCCAATTATCCACAAATCTTCAAGGTTATTTGGAAGCACTATACATTCTTCTCCGATCTCACAATCAGTAATTACAAGCTCATATTTGCCCAGTCTAATCATGTCTTCTGCGGTCCCAACTACAAGACTGTACGCAGTAGCACTCAGGAAATCTTTGAACTTGTTGACAAAATAATTGAAGTCTTGTATGCCATCAAATTGACATTCTATAGTCTCCAACTTCTTCAATCTAGCAACCTCTTCAAAATTTCTCACTGTTGTAGTTTCTCGCAAACAACTTACTGCTAAGTATTGTAGACTGGAAAGGTTAGGTAATATTCCTGTTGGAATCTCTTTTAAATTTGGACAAAATAACAAATCAAGATATTCAAGACTTATCAGCATCCCCATGCCTTGAGGGACCACCTCAATCCTTGCCCCGTGCAAGTCCAACTTCTTCAATCCCCTGAGGTTTGCTAAGGAAGGCAAGTACTTTAACTTCTTGCAAAGTTGTAATCGCAAGGTAGATAGATTCTTCAATTTAGAGATGGAATTAGGTAGAGTCTCAACAGCAGTGCTAGAGAGATCAAGAACCTTCAAAGCAAGCATCTCATCAAAAAAGGATTCTGGAATCTCTGACAAATTTGGATTGCTTGATAATATCAAAGTTGTAAGGGTTGAACACTTTGGGGACAAACTAAGAGGAACTTTTAAAATGTTATTTTCCATTAGAGACAACTTCTTAGGGTCTTTTACCCAACCATGCTCATCTGGTAGCTCTACCCAATTCATACCAGCTTTTATCATATATCCAAATTCAGAACCAATGCTTCTAATAGCCATGTCTCTCACTACATCATGCATCTTAACAGCAGCACTAAGAAAACTAATTTGCTCATTACCATAGTAAAATAAACCTGAGTGAAAAGTATCTTTTACTAATAAGAAATTCTTCTCAAGCCTATCTATAATAGCATGGCCCCTATTATAAGTTGCTTCTCTACTTAGCGACCGATCAATTAGTCCTTCATCAATCAAACATTCTATCAGCTCTCTTCTAGAAAACACATAATCCTCCCGAAATAAAGAGCAATAAAGAAAACAATTCTGAACTTCCAAACTATCCAACCGATCAAAACTAAATCTTAATCTCTTAAATATCTCATCATTTGAAGTTTTCACACTCTTTACACGATCTTGTAATTCAGTCAGTGCATTTCTCCACACTTTAACATCATTAACTCCCCTCATGCTTCCAGCTATTACAACAATAGCTAGTGGTAAACCGGCACATTCTTTCACAATAAGCTTCAAGATGTCTTCCAACCCTGGAACTTGTGAAACACCATTCCCAACTGTATTGAGGAATAACTTTAGAGACTCCTCTTGTGAAAGAGGTTGCACTTCAACAATCTTACAACACAAATAACTACATACTTCAATTGATCTACTGGTAATAACTACTTTGCACCTATTTTGCGCCTTCAGATCCGGAATTCCAACATCATTAAGAGAGAACGTATCCCATACATCATCTAATATTACCACATATCTCACTCTTCTCATTATTTGCATTAGTGCTGCTGCTCGCATCATCACATCTTCATCCTCTGGAAGACTTTCGCCCATATCACGAGCAATCTTCTTTTGTAATTCAAAAAAATTGAGAGGATGTGACACAGTAACCCAGATCACTTTCTGAAATCTAGTCTCCCTCTGTAAATCATTGTGGAGATTCTTCATGATCGTAGTCTTTCCAACTCCACCAATCCCACAAACTCCAATCATTCCAATCTCATCACCCATCAAGTGCCCCCAAATTTCTTCCTTAGTAGAAATTTCCCCCACTAAATTCTCTGTTGGAATTATGACTCCACGAGCTGGAGCTCTGTCAATCACAAGGCCTTCATTGAAAATGCCCCCCTCTTGAATTCTCTTCACCACTTCAACTTTTTCACGCACAAGTTTATCGAGACTGGCACGTTGGAAGTATGAAACTCTGCGCGCCCTTTCTTCAACATCTTGTATGTCTTTTTTGATCTTTCGAACATCGTTAAGCCAGCCCCTCACTTCTTGTTTCACCACTTGCCCTGGGTGAACCTCTGCTTGTATTCTTGATTTAACGTCAATTTTTCTCCTCTTTAAAACCTGAAATTCGTTTCTGAACTCATTCAGATCTTCTTCAAGTTTTCTGTGGCAGTCTACATAATCCCAAACATAATCCCAAACATAATCCCGAACATAATCTCGAGCAGAATCCCCGAATATCCTTAAGATTTCACGAAATGTCTCCATCAATGATTTCCCTAAAATGTAATAGTTACGTTTTAAAATTAATTTTTATTTGGAATAAAAAATGTAAGAAACAAGGAGTTATGATGAACTGACATTCGATTTTTATCTACGTTGTTCGTTATACAGAAATTTTTTACATAAAAAATATTATTTTTTTAAAAAATAGTATAAAAATTAAAAAAAGTCTCAAATATTATGAAGAGATAAATTTTTAATATTTTACGTAAATAAATAAAAATAAAAATTATGTATAAATTAACTTCACTTAAAAACAATTTAAATAACGAGGTACAAGATGCCTGGCATCACTAATATATAAAACATGATTCATTTCTACTGTCTATTTTAAAAAGGCAAAACCTAAACATAAAAAGAAAAAAAAACGGAAAAAGAAAAAGAAATAAAAAAACTAAGAAGAGGTACACGAACTTGATTCATCCATACAGTACGGCTATAACCTCATTAATATTTTCTTATGGTGCTTAATTATGAGGCAAGCGGTTTAATGTTAATATTTTCTTCTTTAATTAAGTGAAGCAAAAAAATCCTACATATGAATTGTATTATGCTAAACTGGAAAGAAATTTGTGATATATAAAGAGTAGACATTAAACCATAAACATATGATTAAGAATATATGGTTAACATTACCACCAAACTCATCAAGATTTAATTTTTTCAGAAATCAATGAAAAAATAATTCAATAAAATTAGTACTTTTTAGTGCACGTGCAACCCAAATATATATATATATATATATATAAAAGGAAACATTCACTTATATTTCATAATGACCGCAATGGATTCCCTTTAATTTTGCATTTGGTAAAAGTTCATGTTCTTATATTTCAAGTTTTTCCTTTTAAAAATTAAATTAAATATCAATTTTTATACTTCAACTTTAAATTTTTATATAATTTTCATTCCTTAACTTTTCTAATCAAATTGAAATACTGAGTTAGTGCTAATTAATCAAATACCTCTTGTGTAAGAGTGGGGGCAGGAACATATATGCTGATGGTTTCAGATGGAAATAGGGGAAACTTGATAAAATTAAGTTCCGCTATTATACATGGAAGGGTAGAGATTGTACATGGAGATGAGAGCCCTTGCACTCCACATTGTATACAGAAAAAGTATACCTCTTGTGTAATTGAAACCTTTTCTTATTTAGAAAAAATTAGTGCCAATTAAGTGAAAATTTTAAGTTTAATTTGGGTTGGTATTATATTCAGAATTAACCAAAATTGCTATAGTTTAAAATTTTCATTATAATTTGGTAAATTTGGTATTTAAAATGCTGTATATCTAAATTTTTTCAAAATTTGTTTAAAAGCTAATTTAAAAGTGAATTTTTGAATTTCCTTCCAATAATTTTTTTAAAATTTGTGATAAAAGAATTTGCTTTTAAAGCAAGTACTATTTAAATTTTGCCCAACATTCTATAGATATAGTAATTACATAGTATAAGAAAATTATTTATTTCTTTGAATATAAAATGGTATGAGCATATTAGTCTCTGTATCTCATAATAATATATTTTTCTTTATTTTATCTTCAAATTAAAGATTTGGAAACAATATATGTTTTTAGCTATATTATCCTTAAAAAAAATAGAGAAATAAAAATAAATAGACTTTTTTATGATAAATGAATAATTAAACTTAGGACACTAATTGATACATCATTCAGTTCAATATTCTATACAACATATTTATTAAAAAATTATTATTTTTTATCCAAAATTAAAGTTAGATAAATTTAAAAATATAATTATGTATACAACATATAGGAAGTGATTGAATTAGATATGCTTATGATATATTTTAATAACTAAATTGGGTAAATGTCGACAAGTATGTTGAATCCCAAAATGTACTAATAATTTTCTTTAAAGTTAGGAGATAATTAATGACAATGTCAAGGTAAGGAAAAAAAAAATTTTTTTTCTTTAAAGTATATAAAAAGGAAAATGATGAATACACACTCCCCCCGTTGTCACACACTCCGTCACACACACTCCATCTCCGTTCGTCTCCGTTTATCTCCGTTTCTTTGGTTAACCCAGTGGCTCTCCTCTTCACCTAGCCCTGGTTCTTCGATTTTCTTTCTCTCTCCTCCCCCTCTCCTTCCTTCTCTTCTCCACTGCTAGAACCCAGATCGGGTTCTTGCAAACCTAGATCTAGAACATTAGACATTCCATGGTTCAATTAGATGAGGAAGAAGGCATGAATGAAAGGCTTATCAACGGAGAGAAAGAGAGAGGCAAGGGTGAGAGGATGCCAAGATCTGTTGAGGATAGAGATTGGTAGTGGATTTTATGGAAGGGAAAACAGCTAGACTGGAGAGGAAAGGCTTGAGCCAACGAGGGAGATCAAGGGGCAAGAAGAGAACTGACATCAGAGAAGGAAGAGATAGCCGACAATGGAGAATGGAGAGAGAACGGGAAGCTCAGCATCTTCGACATCTACTTCAAGACCCCCATTGTTCATGGAATGGATCTCGTCACTCCCCGCTTCAGGTCCCTTGCCAAGCGTCTCGTGCTTCTCGTTGGTACGACTTTATGTTAGGAATGTATGCAAGATGCTTTCTTGTTTGCTTCTGCCAATGGGTTTTGTAACTGGTTTTTGGTTCCTTATAGCTGATTAACTGGCATTAAACTTGAAATGCTTTTCTGGTAGTTTGCATTTTCCGTTGTTGAAATGTCTGTAATTGGGAATTGGTTTTCTGGGACGGTTTCAATTGGGCTTACATCAATTAATTTAGCATTTTTCTTCATTTAATGAGGTCTAATGTTGCTTAAAATGTTGGAGAGTATCCGAAGAACCCGATCTGGGTTCTTGCATAACCCGAT